CCACTCTCGCAAGGCGCATCGGTTGCGACCAAGTCGACGACGCAGTCCCTACTTCAGGGAAATGACGCTTCGTATACAGCGGATATAAGTCTACATAATTATGCCGGCGCTTCCCTGTTTGATTTCCGGTGTAGCTTATTTCCCGTTGCCGCAACCATTAACGATAGACATTTACCCCTACAAGCTTGCTTACCTGTACGACTTTTAAAGGGCGATCCAAACTTTGTAATTATTCCGTTTGTATGAAACTTTGAAAGCAGGAACATAAGAGAACCAAAACTTTGAAATAAATCATACAAATAATAAGAGAGTTTTTAGAGTTTGAAATATGAAATGATTACTAAAATATGCGAATCTCAAATTGGCAATTTGGTCAGTGGATTGTGACGTGGTCACTGACAACTCCCGTTTGTCCTGTACAAAAATATCGTTAGAAGATGTTTTTCTCCTATGCGCCTTCTCCTTGCGAGCGCTACTCAAAATATTACGGATATTATATCATTACGGTTCCTCTAAAAGGAAAAGACTCACTGGGTCGTACATTAGTTTAAATTGGCATGTTAGTTCGTTTGTGTATTGAAACAAATGGAAGAGTCGTCCAGCATGTCATCACAGTGACATATACCGATTCAGCCAATTTGAAGTGATCATTTTAATGATAACAACTTCGTTACCAAAAAAAAAAAAAAAAAAATCACAAATGTCTTATTTTCTTCGTCTGATTTGTTCAAAACCTTCACCAGTCGTCCGGCTTCTGTGATTTGTCTGTTTTCTTTTAATGTTTAACAGGAAGTCACCTATTAAGGTTTCCTTTTAAACCATGTTATTGATAATGACGTTTTACCAATACTCCGTCAACCTTTCAGACCTTTAAAGTTCGAAGAAGGGGGACCCATTTTCTCCTCGGATATTTCCACCTTTTAGTTTTTGTGCGTGGGATTTTTGGCACCCCGTGTTTGGAAACAAAACAATGAGGATATTTGGATTTCAATCGAAGCTGTGGAAAACTCGAACGATTTACGAGCTTACGGAGAGAGAGAGCCAGAGAATCAGGACGAAAGAGGGTCATGGTCGAGGCTACCACCAAAAATCTATTTTTCGAACATTCCTCAAGAAGAAAACTAGAGGACAGGTAGAATGTCCAGATGAATGAAAAGAAATATATAGCTGATGGAGAGAGTGGACAAGAAATAGCATGAAGAAAAGAGAAAAGAGATATAGAAATAGACAGAGAGAGAGAGAAAGCAGAAAATAATCGAATACTATACATGGCATACTCGGCACAATGCAAAAACATCCCTCCAAAACAAAATAAAACAGTACATTACAATATAAAATAAAACAAACAAAACAAACAAACATACATACAAATGAACAAATCCCAAACCAACCAAACACAACGCAATCACCCCAAAAGAACAAACAAAAACAAACATATCTCCTACACAAAAAGCATTTTGATGATGACCGAGAATATAAGAGATAGCATAACTAACCCCATCGCAAAGAATTTCGAAAAATGACCCAACGCAATCTCAATATATAGCTCTTGGCGAGTCGGCTACAGAGATGTGCAACATGACAACGATGTATTACGTCATCGAAACACGAACATTACATATTTCGTCATTGGAACATGACAATGACATATTACGTCATCGGAACATGATTATTTTTATGAGATTTATAATACGGTCTTGATTTGATAGGCAATCTGATCATGGCCCCTTTTCACAAAACATCGGTGACAAATGACCGTTTTTGTTATAAGTGAAATTCTTACTTATGATTGGTTATCAGCAGATGTGACACTGATTGTGTTCATTTGTCATTGAAAAAGGGCTTTGTGAAGCAGGTCCCCGACTTCTCGAAAGTCTTTGCGAAAATGAGGTGAGAATGGAGGTCACATGACTAGAAATGAAACTCAAAACAACCATTGGCATTTGTTATCAATTGCATTTCAGTGAAAGCGGCGAAAAAGCTGAACAAAAGTGTATATGAATTGTTAAATGCATTTCAATTAGTGACATGATAAGATACAATTATTATTCTTCATTTAAATACAGTGCATTACCTCACAATCTTCTAATTCCCCTTATTTATAATTTGAACAATATTGAGAAGAAATGTTCTCATTAAATTTAGGTCATTGCTTTGGCAAAGCTGCAAGCACACATTAATAACAGATGTACAGAAGTTTAGTTACATTGCATTTCAAAGATCTAGATACTGTATCTATAATCATAATTGTGACATGATGAAATACTCGAATTACCGTCAACTTAACTTAATCTCTTAGTGCAATCTTATACCTACATACCATGTACATAAAATCTTAATCACAAATGAATTCATCAATTTTACTTTGGCAAATCTGTAAACATGCATAATAAAGATAATACGCGTCATTTACACAAACAGTTAAATCCATGAAGGGACGTTAAAATTCATCCTCTAAATCCCTGAACTTTTACATGATAACATAAATAAAATTGAATAAAAAATATTAATAAACATTAATTTGAAAGAAGGGGGGGGGTGGTATAAACACCTTTAAATGTGTTTAGTTAGTGTACTGCTCAACTCCAAACCACTTGATGATCATTTTTATGATATATAATTTGCCCATATTAAACAATCGACAGATGATAATATGTTGTAACATAATAATTGCAGGGAAAACAATGTACAGTATGAGTGATGAGAAATTGTCCCTGATCTTTGATATTTCATGCAAAGCTACAAAATATTGTTTTCCCTCTTCAAATCTTAGTGTAACAAGTGACAGTGAAAGTAATTTTACATATAACTTGACCAATAAGGGTCAATTCAATTTCATACCTGCTTAAACAAACTACAATATGTTTAAAAGACTGCACAGGGATTAATCTTCTATGTTCTTAAAATTCATAAATTAAAGACCCTATCCGATTAGAATACATCTTTATATCCATGAAAAGCTTAATGAACGAAGAACAAATATCAGGCATAAAAATGTAATTTTCAAAGCTTTACATTTTTAGTTTTCAGAGAGCTGTTACCCCTGACAGACACTAAAAAGCAGGTAAATTATATTATTGTACTCTACGGCTTATAATCTTTCAGTTCATAAATAATTCATCTATTTCACTTTTCACATCCAACAGGGTCTTTAAAAAACACAAAGTAAAACTAAACAAACATATGTTAGTACATGAATTATTACTCCTGCTAACAGCTGTGTAGCGGAACAAAAATATCTTTCCTCTGTCCATATAAACCATTTCAGATAACCTTTACACCATAAACCACACTAAACACGACAGTTTTTACACTACACACTTATTTTGTATCCAATTTTTTGGAATTATTTCCAAGAAATTTTACAGGAATTTGCAGAATGGAGTGGTAAAATTATACATGTACTGTATATGTACATTGTAGCTTACAAATGACACCATTAGTAGTATCCAATTGTTTTCAATTAAGTGGTGCAGTACATGTAATAGGATTGTGACAATATAACAGAGAGAAAAGTACATTCATTCTAAACTCTACAGTGTACTTCCAACCAAATACTTACATTCTTGCATATGAAATACATGTAAGTGCATGCACATTTGAAATGTTTGAATAGTGTATAAACATTTAAAAATTGTATCTAATTGCAATTAAAAGTACAGATTTGATATAATACTGTATGTGTTATAAACAAATACGTTCTACAATCATACAAAAATAATCCATTCTCTAAATTCATGGTGGACACATCTTGAAAATAAGTTCATCTACAATTATGACCAATAATAGTCAAGAAATATATAATGTACAAATATTGATAATTAAGTTTTCTAAAATGTGTTCATTGGTGACATTTTAAAAATACTATCATTGCACTGTAATTAGCTTATTCTAAGAAAAGCAAATAAGAAAATATTATTAAAAAACAAGTATTTACAAAAAAGTTGTTTCTTGGCTACTATGAGAAACAAACATTTTCACAATTATATTTTATTCCGTATTTCCTCATTTCAAAAAGAGTTAAACTAGTTTAGGCATACTCTAGACATAAAAGGTAGCTATTTCAAGAAAAGTATTCTGTCTTGCTTCAACTTAGTTCTGTACAGACTAATATTTTAAGTCTTGGTTATTATGTAAATAAACCTATTCAAAATATTGACATATATTGGAGCATGTTAAGACAACTACACAGTACATCTCATCTAAAAGGCAAATAGTGGTCTAATATAGCTACAATGTATTTCCAGAAAAGCATTCCACTTTGCATGAACTTTGTTCTGCATAGCATTTTGCTAGCATTGATACAAAAAGAATATGGGGTGAAGCAAATTTTTCTTTCTACACTTTTAAAAACAATTAAAAAATAATAATATTAATAATAATTTGTATGTGGATCAACGTCTTGTCAAAGGACGTTTGTGCTGGGCTGGGATTGGAACCCTCAACCCTTGAATTGAGAGTGAAGTGAATGAACCACTATACTATGACACCTCCATGACATGTAATAACTGCTTAGGGTAATTTATTCGTTAAATAATGGAGGGGGAGTGGTTTATTGAGTTCAACATCAATCAGTTAAGCTCATTCCACTCAGTTTGAAGATAGAAGAGAAGCAAAAGTGACATGTCATGTCGCCTTATTATGCTGGGCTGGATTTTGTAGAAAGAAAGGCAAGAGCTGGTGAGAGAAGAGAAGGAGAAGAACAAAACAAAGAGAGACTCAAATGAGGAAAAGAAAAGAAGAAATTGAGAAGGAGAACGAGGAAAAGAAAAAATTGAGAAAGATAAAGAATATAAGAAGAAAAAGAGTGAGAAGAGGATAGGGAACTTAAAGCCACACTGTCCTACTTGTAGCTACTTGCTCTCTCTATATAGAAAACAATGCCTAATCGGTGACCATTGGTCCCCCATGATCCTCTTTTTCATATGCTAATTGAGAGCTGAGTTGATGAGATAACCACCTTTTAGTGACCTTGCAGGGCGGTCTAATCCGTCCTATAAACTAGTACAGATAAGGTTTAAGATATTTTGTGAAAATCTCAATCATCTAATTTCATTCCACTCAGGTTGAGGGTAGCAGTTGGGGAACCGAAGCACATGGTCATCAGCTCCACCTCTGGACTTGATAGATTGGGACTCTGGTGTAGATCCAGGACCTGGGAAGGAGAGAGAAGACGAAACAAAAATCAGAAAGACATAAAGAGAGAGTGAGAGAAAGAGAGAGAGAGAGAGAGGAGTAAGTGGGTGGGAGAGAGGGAAGGAGGGAGAGAGAGAGAGAGAGAGAAAGAGGGAGGGAGAGAGGGACATAGAGAGAGAGAGAGAGAGAGAGAGAGAGAGAGGAGAATGGAAAAGAAAGAGGGCCCCAAAAGAAGAAACAAAAATCAGAAATACAGAGAAAGAGAGAAGAAGGAGCAGAGTGAGTGGGTAGGAGGGAGAGAGAGCGCAGAGAATGGGAAAGAAAGAGAACCCCCCAAAAAGACAAATAAAGAAAAAAAGTCAGGGAGAGATGGAAAGAAGGCGAGTGGGGGGTAAAGGAGACAGAAAGGAAAAGATTGAGAAATATGGATAGAAAGAGAGAGAGAGAGAGAGAAAGAAAAGACAAAATGACGTAGTGAACAAAAAGAGAAATAGAGGAAGAAAGATAAAGAGAGAACAGAAAGAGAAAGGGGGAAGCAGGTGATTACAGGGGAGAAAAGATAGCGAGAGATGGAGAAAAAAGAAAAGAGATAAGATTTAAAAATGCAAAGAACCCAAACAATCTAGTATCTTTCACTGTCAAAATTCTGTAATATTTCAAGTTCAAGATGAATTCATCTATCACAGGTCCCTACACTTGTTTGTCAGATACAAATTAAACCAATTAAAAAAATGAAGAAAATTCATTGCATTTCTCCTTCGCCGCAAAATCTCCCCTTTGCCAATGCCATACTTCCTCCCAACAATTGCACTTCCTAAACAAAAAGGAAATAAAATTGTGATGACTCAGAAGAAAAAGCCTTTAAAACTTCAAATCAATCACAAATAAGGCCACAATTTAGACCCTCCAGCCTTAAATCTTATATTCCACAAATAAGTAAGAATAGGCCTATTATACAATTTTCATTTTTGTTCATATCACATTTCGGATAATCCCCCAGATCTGGAGCTTCAAGAAACACCACAATTGTGATGCTTTTACAACAATCAACAAACTCTTCATAGAGTCGCGGTCAAGGGGTTCTATTTGTGAAGTTACAGTTAGCTTTTGTTATTATTTGTTTTCCTTTTGGCTGGCTGTATCGCCAGATTTTTTCTGAAAATAAACTTGAATTTGAATAACCTTTGTTGATTGTTAGTGTACTTTTATCTTTTATGTTCAGCTATATACTCTTCAAGAAGAAAGAAAAAAGAAGAACAAGTAGGACCCCCCCCCCCCTCAATCAAATGCAAAAAGATCATTATGTTCATAAACTACACTGTATATGATTATTTACTACAAATATATTCAGTTGTTCTATAATAGCAAGTATTATTACAATGTAGCAATGTCTTTCTGTTTCCAAAGAGCTTTCCATTCTTAAACAAACTCTGTGCTAGCTGCCCTGTTATTGAAGGCTCTAAAGCATTCAAGCAATTGCTTTCTACATGTACCGGTGCCATTTTACATCACCTGGGTTGAGAGTGGCAAATGTAGATTAATGTCTTGCCAAAGGATGATAGTTCAGGCTATCATAATAATAATAATGATCTGGATGTATATAGCATTTATCTATTTATCATAATTTATTCTGCAATTCACAAAATATATAACAATGTAAATATGAGTAAACAAACATTAAGAGAATGTCAATTTAATACAAAACACACCGTCTCTAAGCGTTTTCCAGGTACCGGTATTATTACTCCAGTCATCAGATTCATTCACAAACAATGTGCACCATCTCCATTCCCTGTGGAGTATTTCTACCATATGGCATAGAGTGGCAAATGTAGATAAATGCCTTGCCAAAAGACATGCTATCTAGAGTCCAATAACTTATCCACTAGACAAAAAAACCTTATCTTCTCTTTTCATTATTCCCTATACTGGACATAGATACACGTAGCAAAGCAATTACACTATACTTTAGTCAATAGTACAGCCATTTGACACGTTGCATACAAAAACTTACACCCACATCTGTCAAATCTCAGGTTAAAAGCTTGCAAATAACAAAATCTATTTCTCGCTATTCTACTTTCAAAAGTACACACACACACAAGCCCTGTCTTTATTCATACACCTCACACAGAGGCTATAATTGGTCCTAAACTCACACGGCCTCAGAACTTCAGCCAGTCTGCCAAATAGAACAGTCAGTAGGAGAGAACCTACCTATCCATCAAGAGTTTTAGATAAGACTGACTTAACTTGTGCTTTAATACTTCTGTACAAAGGACCATTACTGCAGGGGATTGCAACGCGAGAAAGACCGTTACAAGACTGTGGTGAAACTCTGGACGGCAAGCATAGCAAGCCTGGCCAGAAAGCTTCTCTTTTATTTATTGTCCAGTCATGATTTTTTCCTTCTAAATAGGGAAATGGTAATTAAAGGGTGATGCAAGTCTTGCATAAACAAGTTGAGTGAAAAAGAGAAATACTCTGTGAAAATAGGACTTAGTGAAAGTTTTAAAGAAATTGGAGTAAGTTAAAGATAAACTTTAGTACTGGTAATGCGATTGCATTGTGAAAGAAAAGGTGTGGAAAGGATCAGAAACAGTTGATCATGTAGCATGTAAGTATTGGTGTGCACTGCAAGGTTCTGGAGTCATCAAAATCATAATAAATTTGACCGAGTCTTGGTAAAGTAACAAGCACATACACAGAAAGCTATGTATGGGACAACATGCATGGTGTCGGGGTTGGTACTACCTTGATTCCTTGTCTTTCTATGCTCATTACTCAGCCAGTATACATTTACTTCCAAAATTGTTTGGCACATGTCATTTATTTGTAATCTTGAACATTCAGTGTAAGTTTCGTTTGATTCTGTGAGAAATAATTTCCTTTTTTTTTACCAGTACTCAACTTTATCTTTAAAGATGTTGGAAAGTTGAGATTACTGCACACACATATGTGGATCTAAAATTGACTAATTGGTCAATTCACTGTGTTGTACTTAGGGAAACTTTGCAATGGTAAGCTAAAACAAGAAGGATTCCTAATGTTTTAAACTTTTAATAGGTCAAACCAATTGGCAAATTGGACAGGAATATGTACATGTATACAATTAAATCAATTCAAAAGATAAATGCAAGTTTTATGGAAGTTCTGTAAAAAAAAATTGCTAGGTCAAAATCAGATTTCAAATAATTTAATACAGCAAGATTGCAATCTAATATTCTTCTTTCTCTAATCTATAAAAAAACCCTCAGTAATTCGAATTTTGCAGATAATTCCCTCCCATTCAATTATGCCGTTAATTGATTGATGTACCTGTTTGTAACTTCTGACGTCCTTTACCAGTTATAGTTAATCCTTCTCTTAGCACACGTCGTCTGTCTATCCGGAGTTAAATGCCTTTTGTGAATGGGGGACAAAGCCAGAAAGCTGGACACCGGGCCGTTATTAGCTCAAGGGGGTCTCTAGCTCGCAAACAAACAACCCCCTTTTCCAGCTAGGAAACTATTTTCTCAAAGAATTCAATAAAGAGAATTTGGATATCACCTCAAGGGGTGAGATATGACCAACAATATCTCAATCAAATCTTGTGCTGCCCATGAGAATTGGCTAGTTTTTGTTTGCTTTGTGGACTTGTCTGGGTCTTAAGAGCCACTTTTCTGGTGGCATAAAATGCTTTTAAGTGTCGAGTGCTACTTCAGATGTCCATTTTGTGTGTTTGCTAATTCGCTTAGTGGATTTAACTTGCCTATTTTGTTGTTCTTTTTGTTTTATAATCTGTCTGTTTGTATTTCTTTTATTCAGACTCTCTACTCTCTTTTTACGTATTTTTCTCTCTTCTGTTCTTTCCTCTGACTTGATGTTCTTTCAATACATGTCTATGTACCTTTATTTGTAGTCAATACAAATGCATATATACAAGATCATAATAACATTTTATTTACCCAGGGTAGCCATTTCAGTTATGAAACTGCTCTTATTTCTGCATAACATAAATATGTTATTACTTCCCTTCTCCCATCAAATATGCTGAGCGCCTAGCTACAAGGCAGAAGGTCCCATTTTTTTAAGTCTTTGGTATGACTCGGCCGGGGTTCGAAACCACGACCTCCCGTTCATGAGGCGGACGCTCTAACCACTGAACCAACTTAATATCATGGTGAACTTTCCCTTTAATTCTCTGCTATGGCTCCTAATGGTTAGGAGCCAGACATATAACACTGAGTTCCCATAAGACATATATTTATTCAGATGGTCATATCTCAGCCAATACTTAACATATTCAATTGGTTTTCGACATTTGGACATTATTTTTGACACTCTTTCGGAAAATAATTTTTTTTTTTAGAAATTCTAAAAATAGATTTTTATGACGTCACAGCTTCTGTACTCTATATACCCCACTCTTAAATGCAACATCTTAAAGCCCCACTGCACTACTGCAATACATGTAGTTACTTGCGCCTTCTATATAGCAAACAATGCCTAATGATCGGCGACCATTGGTCCCCATGGTCCCTTTTTTCTTAGGTTAATTGAGAGCTGATTTGATGAGATAACAACCTGTCAGTGACCATGCAGGGAGGTCTAATCCCTCCTGGCCAAACTAAAGATGAAGTCTACCCTCATCATTAGCTGGTATTTATTTTAAAAAAAAGAAATAAGCAAGATATATAAATTAGTGAAATTCATAACTTTCTAATTTTCAATTTAGTTTTACTCAAACTTTCTCTGACCCGTTCCTCTAATTTTTCCGCTTCTATTCAAACCAACTTAATATCATGGTGAACTTTCCCTTTAATTTTTAGTTTTAGTGTAGAAATTACTCTCTTACATTAGAATAACTTGAGATAGGCCAAAG